TGAGATTGTCTTGGATCATTATATTGCTGAGAATAGCTAAGTCATTCACAATTCTTCATCAAACAATTTTTCTGTTAATGTGTACATGTTCTCCTGGTTCTGTTCACTTCACTATGCATCAGTTCATGCAAGTCTTTTCCAAAATCATCCGGTCATTTCTTTTTTTTTTTTTTGGTGAGGCAATTGGGGTTAAGCGACTTGCCTAGGGTCACACAGCTAGTGAGGATCATGTATTTGAGGCAGGATTTGAACTCAGGTCCTCCTGATTCCAAGGCCGGTGCTTTATCTACTGTGCCACCTATCCTGTCACTTCTTACAGCATAAAAATATTCTGTTCCAATCATGTACCATAGCTTGTTTAGCCATTCCCCAATTGATGGCCATCCCTTTGATTTCCGATTCTTAGCCACCACAAAACAAAACAAACAAAAAAGCTGCTGTAAATATTTTTATACAAACAGGACTTTTCCCCTTTTTTTGGATGTCTTTGGGATACAGATCTAGCAGTGGTATTGCTGGATCAAAGGGTATGCACCGTTTTATAGCCCTTTGGGCATAGTTCCAAATTGCTCTCCAGAGTAATTGGATCACTTCACAACTCCACCAACAGTGCATTATGTCCCAGTTTTCATTAAGGGGTTTTAAGACCAAGAAAGGGAGAGACAAAGGTTGTTGTTGTTCAGTCTCTGCCAAGATAGAGGCAATACAATAATGCTGGTATGGCCACTCCTATGAATGTTTATATTTAAAAGAGGAGATTTCTGAAGAGGCAGTAGAGCTGCTCGGGGCAGGAATCCTTTGCTGTAAGGCATACTATGAGAGGGCATAGGACTGGACTATAAAGGGCCATGAGAGCTTATCTTCCTATCTTCTCCTTCTTTCAGTGTATTGAAAGTATTGTTGCTGGATGCCTCTAATCTTGTTTCTGGTTGTTTAGGTCAGATAGGCTGCCTCAAATTGTATTAGCTTTTGGGGGGAGAGGGTGAAGTACTGTTCCACTCTAAAGACGGTGAATAAAGAATGATTTTGTACCCTGAAAAATGTCATCCTGACAGTAAACACATTTGATGTCAAGCTATTCTTAAGTTGGACAGCCTGAGCTATTTGATGGCAGTCTTTGGAAGACATAATTGAATGAAGAGATTTATTCTGGATCAAAGGTATAATATGATAAAGTTAGTAAAAATTTGATGTCTGGAAATAATGGTTTACAGGTACGCATCCCAGAATCTGAGAGTTGGAAGGGAATGGAGGGTATGCAGTCTAACGCCAACCTGACCCACGACCTCCTCTAAATCATTCCTGACAAGCAGACCTCCAGCCTTTAGTATTGAGGAAAAACCTGCCCTCCCTCAGGGTAACCCGTTCCACTTTGTGGTCACTCTAATTATTAGGAAATTTTTCCTTATGCCCAACCTGATTTTGGCTCCTCATAACTTCTGCTCATTGCCAGGTGTTCTTCTACCAGGGGTTAAGTAGAACAAATCTATTCCTTTGTTCACAAGAATACTTGGAAATATTCAAACAGTACCCACTTAAGTACCCACTTAGTCTTCTCTCCAGGTTAAATACCTTCAGTTCCTTAAATGGTGGTTGAGGACTAGGACGTGAAAGTACCATATTGCACCCTCTTGTGATGCAGGAATTCCAAGGAAAAGACTGGAAAAAAGCCAGGGTGATCAGCCCAAGCTTTATTAGGGGATTTACTTATAGACCCAAAGCAGAACCACCTTGCCATGGACAGCAAGGCAAATAGCAAGGGTTAGGCAAAGTCCGTGTGGGGACTTTGTTCTTGCTATTTATGTGTTTTTACCTGAACTGCTTAAAGAGGGAGTTGAATGAAACATGCAGGATATACAGAGTCTATCAGTGATGAAAGCAGCAGGACATATAAATGTTCAATCAAGATGGAGTTGGCTGCTAGCCACACATCATTTGTGACCTAGCAAGAATATTTATGAGTTTATTGCTCCTAATTACAACCATAATCCACTTAACCCACAATGCTCTTAACTGCACCCATGATCTATTTAAACTACAGTGGTAAAGATGTGAGGCTCTCCCTCATCCTGGTTGATTCTCTCTAGAAGCTCTTTAGCTTTTCATTGCTCTTCCTAAAACGTGGTACTCAGAACTAGACATCAGAGTCCAGATGTGATTGCCAAAACCTAGTGGAGCTATCATGTTCTTATTTTTTGATTTTCTTAATACAGTCTAGGATGGTGCTAACTCATATTCAATTTGCAATCCACTAAAACCTTCAATTTTTTTTCAAACTGTTGCCTAGCCACATCTCCTCGATGTAAGTCGATTTTTAAAAAACCCAGTTGCAAGGGTGTGAACTTAGGATAATTCATTTTCAGCTTCTAAAGGACGTGACTCAGCTAACAGAGACAATGGACTTGTCTTTCGGTAGTGGATAGTCTGTGAGAATTTACAATAAGGGGATGGACGACAGAGGGTGCTAGTAAGTCAAGGATGGAAAGGAATTCCGGGTTTCTTCCTAGTCCTAGAGTGTGTGTTCTTTCTTCCTGATGGAGCCCAGCAGTTCTCTTGCCAAGGACGCAAACTCGAAAGGCAGAAATGGTGGAGACTATGACCAATCAACAGAACCCAGTCTAACAGAGATGCTATATAGACAGCAAGCCTTCTTCTGTACACACTTTAAGAAACATAAGTTAATTGGTAAGTTTCCCTTTGCACCCACATCATTTTGTTCAGACAACTCCTTTTCCCTTATGAATAGAATTAGTTCTCTTCGTATCTTTGGAATTTCATTCTTGAAAGCTTCCTATCCGTCTTAGGATGACTCCCCTCCTAAGAATATTACTCCAAGGGGTCCTACCTATCTTTTTTCTCAACTCTTCAAAATCTTTTCTCCCATTCAGGACACACTTCAGACTGTTCTAGGCTTTCCTCTTCTCTATCACAAATTCTAAGATGGAGTGGTCAGTCATTTTCTTTTTTTTTTTAAGTGAAGCAGTCGGGGTTAAGTGATTTGCCCGAGGTCACACAGCTAGTATGTGTCAAGTGTTCGGTCTGAAGCCGGATTTGAACTCAGGTCCTCCTGAATCCAGGGCCGGTGCTCTATCCGCTGTGCCACCTAGCTGCCCTGGTCAGTCATTTTCTCCCAAGGTTTCAAACATTTCAAACATTTCCTCCTCAGCAACTATTTCTTCTTTGACATCAAAAATTGGATTCTTAAACAAGGTTTGCAATTTTGGTTCATCATTTAAATTTTCATTAAATGTCCATACTGGAGATAGTATATATTATGTTTGTGGAACTGATTAGTTTATTTGCAAAACTGGTAGCTCTCTGCTTCTGAAAGTAGTATACATCAATAAATTTGGAATACTTGAAATATAAACAGATACTCTATAACCAGAGAACTTGTTCTTTATTTATGTGATATATATGCTCTGTAGGTAGTTTTTGTTTTTTTCTAAAGGAAGCTTATTGCTATTCTATTACTTTCCCTTTTTTTTCCTTAGGAATATTAAGATTCTCATAAGGATTATTTCCTTCTCTGTAATTAGTCAGGGTGATCTGGAAGGCTGCAAATGGATTTAGAGACTGTCATTAGAAACTTAATGAAGAAAAATATTCATTCCAACTCTGCTATATGATGTGAGAAAATTTTTCATTTTACAAGTATCTAAAAAAACTCTATTGGAAAAGAGAAGTGTAAGCTATATGGTTCAATGAGAATGTTTATTAAATTTCTGGGAGATGCAACCATGAAACAGAAGTAGAATTTTATAATTCATACTGGATGTTTATACGTGAGATGGCTCTGCATTTTAGAATTTCCTGGAAGAGATTTATAACCACTCAAAAGTGTTTAGCCTTAACTATCCACATGGGAAAACCCAAGTAGATGAAGAACATCTCTTGTCCAGACTATGACATTGAGTCAAATGGAAAAATGTGTGGCACCTGTCCATTTGTGTGTGCATGACAAACACATATACATGTACTCACAAATGAACAAGTGTCACAGGTAAGTAAAGCCCAAAATTAGAAGGAAGAAATATGGCTTCATTGCCTCTGGGAAATTGCAAAGCTTCCTTAATGTCCTCAAACTTCTCCCAGAATCAAAAGTCCTTCATTTTAATATGAATATTCTATTGGTTTTGTATTGAGTCCCGGAATACCAGTCTCTGAAAAATCAAAAATTAACATAAGTCAGAGAGCAATGGAAAAATACATGGTGGGTGTGAGGAAGCTGAAACACATTAACAAGTAACTTGGAAGAACTGGTATAAAGCATGTCATCAGGAAATGTTATGATCGGAAAAGAAGACTGGCTAGTTGTGTGGCGACAATGAGGTATATATAATAAGCAAACCGCCCACGTGCTCTGCTGGTTCCCTCGTGATGTCAGGTGAAAGTGAGGAAGGCCCCTAACACACCGGAGAGACTGCCCTCAGGGAACTCACCTGAAAAAGAGTCACAAAGGATAGGGAGGTGTAGATGGGTTCAATCTGCACCACTGGAAAAACAGCCATATCAATGAGATCACAGGTCCATCTGAACATATGAAACGGGTCCCTTCTCAAAGCAGTCTCTCATTCACCCACATCATCTCTTTCCTCTCAAAGTAGGAAAAGGCTCAATCAAGTACTATGCATTTCACTACTCTCTTCACATGTAAGCTGGGCAATAATTCCTTTCTTATTCTTTATCAGCAAATTTTTTCATGTCATTGTTGTAGTTCATAGAAAAACCTAGCATACGCCTCAGGTGCAGTTTCATAATAAACCTTTTATCATCTGAAATTACTTCAAACTATATTTCAAGAGAATCCTACTGAAGCTCAAGTAAGTAGTAGGATAGGGTTGTGGTTAAATTCACATGAATGCAATGGGTTTGAGGGTTTATAAATACTGAAAGAGAAATGCAAAGCATTATTAAAGTGAATTTCTATTTATTTGTATTGTTAAAACAAGTTAACCTAAAATAGAAACTTTAGGTTATTAGCAATAATAGAGATGAAAACTATTTCAGTAAGGAAAAAGAATAGGAATGAGGTAATTAAATATAATTTAAACATTTAAATAGAAATACTATGTATATTAGGGAGATCTCTAAAATATCTACCCCATATCTGGTCTCAGAGAAAAGTATGAAAGACAGTATCAGAGTAGTTGCTGCATATCATCAGTTCCATTTTTAAAGCAAAGACATCCTTTGGACACATTGCTTTAATCTATCTTTTTGTTGCAGCTTTCTGTTTGTTCTGGTGTAGAGATTCCATTCGTGTCTGCAATCTGTAAGAAACAGTGGTATCGATTTATTGTAGCATCAACACTTATACAGGAGGTTCCCTTAAAATAAGTTAGAGCAGTAAATCTGAACAAAGTTTTACTTCCAATGACTTACACTGAAAAGCTAAAATGATTTAGAACAGCACAACCAACTTAAAATCATACATGCTAATGTATGATTAGTATTAATTATAAGCACACATGCATTTGTGAAACATAAAATATAAGATACAGAAATAATTTAATCATTTCAATTCAGAAAAAAAAAAATTTTATCTTTCTATACCTCAACTCACTCAGCAGGTTACCACATAGAAAACTGACTAATTTTAGTGTTTTTTTACTTTCCACCAACCAACTCCTCTTTTACTTTCCACCAACCAACTAGGGATAAATGTAATTAACTCTCCATCTGTGTATGGCTTTTCTATGTAAATTAGCAGAAAACTGATGAAAAAAAACCAAAAATATGCATATCGTTTCTTCAAAAGTTATCCATCTTTCAAAGAATAACTCTTGAATAAAGAAATGCTAAGTATTTTTAATGCCCAATTTACACTTTCTGGTATTTTACAAAGGAAAAGAACTAAATTCAAAATATTATTGAAGCTTTGGGTTGTTAGAGAAAATTTCTAAACCTGCCTCTAAAACAAGGGTCAAAAGCCACTTATTTTTAGCTATTTGTTCTACCTGTCATTTGTATATTATTATATTTTTACCTTATAGTTTCCTTTGCTTTGTTTCTCAACAGAGCTTTCTTTTAAAGCTTTTTTAGGCCACAGACGACTAACAAAAGGTGAGATTAGATGATACACATATGGCTCCAGGAATTTTTTGTAGACCCAAAGAAGGACAGGAATGACGATACAAGGAATGCACACCATTGCCTCAGGCTTGACTGTTCTGAACTGCAGATATAAAAAAGTGCAGATGATATAATTTGTAATGAAGTAATGACATGATTAGACTTCTAGATTTGTACTTTTTAAGAGTATAATAATACTTTTGGAGGAAAGAGACTAGATGAATCTAAAAATCAATTTAGCTAAAACCAAGAACTCAGTGTGCCAATTCAATATAGTACACTGTTACTTGGAATGGTTATGAAGTGCTCTATTAAGTTCTGGTTAATCAATTACCATAAATGCACCATATGTAGAAGCAGATAATATTAATGCTATAAGAGACCTTATGAGATTACATAATACAATCTCTATTTTACAGATGAAGAAACTTTGATTCAAAGAAGTTAAATGACCTGATGGCGGTCACATGGGTAGCAAGAGTTTTACCTTTATGTTTTGTTTTGCATGACCATACATATATAACCTATATGGAACTGCTTGCCTTCTCAATGGGGGGGGGCGGGGAAGGGAAGGGTTAGGAGGGAGAAAGGGAGAGAATTTTGGAACTCAAAGTTTTAAAAACAAATGTTAAAAAAATTTTTAAAAAAATAAATAGAGTTAAGCTTTAAACCCGTGTCTTACCGACTCTAAATCTAACACACTACCTACTTTGCCAAGCTCAGGAAACTAAAGTGCAAAGAGATTAATGCATTATTCGTTTTTAATAAATGTGAATAAAATCAAACATCATTAACAGAATTTTATGTTTTGCTGATTCAGATGGCAGCACTTGGTTCAACAAGCATTTATTAAGTGCATATTATATTCCTGGTACTGTGAATACAAAGACAAAAATGAAAACTATCTCCTCTCCTCAAGAAGTTATTCCATTGGAGAAAACATATACGAAGAAAACTAAATCCAAAATTTGTACAGAATAATTTCCAGGGCAAGGGTATTAGCAAACACTGTCTGGGAGGTGTGGGGGTGGGGTTGGGAGGGGAGGGATCGAGCTGGGCTTCCTGGAGGAGGTGACACGTGAGGTGAGCTTTGCAAGAAGACGGAGATTCTATGAGGTAGAGGGCAAGGGAGGCCATTCAAGGAATAGGGGATGGGCTGTGTTGAGAGCAGAACAGTAAGAAGGAAAATCTGTCCGGAATGAATAGTGCAGGAAGGCAGATAGCGTGCAACAAGCCTGAAGAGGCAGGCTGGAGCCAGATTATGAAGGGCTTTAAAAGCCAGAGGCGTTTGCATTTAATCTTTGAGTCAAGAGGGGGTTTCTCGAAAAGGGAAGCGATATAATGAGACTTCTGATTTAGGAAAATCAATGTGGCAGCTATAAGAGGACGGGCTGATAAGGAGAGAGACCTGAGACTGAGGAGCGGATTGGGAAACTACTGCATCATCTCAGAATGCCCAGGGATCACCAACGCATTAGAAAGGACTTTTTTTTTTATGGTAACGCAATTACAACTTTTCAATACGCTAACATGTAACACTAACTCAATAACATACTATTACGCTGAATTTGGAAATTTCTACAAAGAAATTTTTAGTTTCCTAGGGATTTTTTAATCCCTTAGATAAGAGTTGGGAAGTCCTGCCAAGATTTTTTAAATTTCAAAACTGGCTCAGAAAGCATTAAATGCTAAACATTAAACATTTATTTCATTTTTAATATTGCATAACACAAATAGCAAATGCAATAATACTATAACTATATAATCAACGATTGATTGCACCTACAAGCTGACTTGAAGCTTTGGGAAAAAATATTACAGTCAAATCTAAACCAAACCTGATATATGAATATTTGTGTTTCTGAAAAAAAAGAAATGAGGAAGCGATAATAAGGCAATCGGGGTTAAGTGACTTGCCCAGGGTCACACAGCTAGTTAAGTGTCAAGTGTCTGGGGCCAAATTTGAACTCAGGTCCTCCCGACTCCAAGGCTGGAGCTCTATGCACTGCGCCACCTAGCTGCCCCCTCCCTTAGCAATTTTTGATAGTTCAATTTACACACAATTTTAAAGGAATACACCTGTGCATGATTTCTTTCTTCAGCACACTCATCTTCCTCATTAAATCCTACTCGATTGCTACTTATAACTGTGTAACCTTCAGAAAGTCATCGAATCTCTCTAATTCTCAGTTTCCTCATCTGTAAAATGAGGGGGGGGTTAGATTAGATGATCTCTAAAGTTCCTTGATTTGCCTGAAATACCTTAGTCTGGCAATGCCTCCAATTATTTCTGCCTCTTTTTAACAAAGTTTCTTAAAACAAAATGTGTAGTTGGAAATTAGTGTTAATAGAAAACACTACAGTGTGGCTCTTCTCTAAGCATTATGTAAATATATGATTACATTTCAATTTTTTATTTACTTAAAACATAAGATTCTTTTGAATCTAAAAACAGTATCTTTCTCTAAGTAAGGGTTCTGCAACATTTCTATCCATCCATGAGTGCCAAGAACCCACATGAAAAAAAATTCACATGGAAGTAAAAAAAATTAAAAACTTAATTTAGTTTTTGTGTGGATATGAAATATTAAGAAGCAGGAATATACTACTTTAATACATACAGTTAATTATTTTCTTTCACCTACAAAATGAACATATAGATAAAGAGAATGAAGGGATGTGTCCTTTAACTATACAGGTAATTCACTGGAAAGAGTTCTGGATATAGAGTCAGAGGCCCAACTCCAACACTTATTTACCTGTGAGACCTTGGAAAAGTAGCCTTAACCTCTCTGTGCCTCAGTTTCCTCATCTGTAAAATAGGGGAAATAGACTCAAAGTCCTTTTTCAAGTCTAAACCCATGACCCAATTAACAATCCTATGCTGTAGTTACGCTAGTACTGAACTTTATTTGGGTTCTCATAACATGCTAGATCAGGTCTGCACAACTTTGCAGTAGGTAGGGACCAAAATTAAAACAGGATGAACTTCCTTCGGGCTACAGGCCGTGTGACAAGAGTGCGCAATGGCAACCCTATATTTTTCCACAGGCTGCCTGAAATCTTTCAGTCCTGTATGTTTGCAGGTCTGTGCTAGGGAAGTGGGGGAGGAGAGGTGACAACAGAGAGAGAGGAAGAATGAAAATCAAAATTTTCACGAAAATATAGAACTGACTATACAACTGGAGAATTTAGGTGTGGTAAACGGAACTTACTAAGAGCTGCTTCAGAAAGATTAATATCATGTAGAAATAGCAAGTTAATGGTTATTTGGAAGGGTCCATAGAGTTCTTCACCAAAGACAGAATCTAGGTCTGAAAGAAACCTTAGAGGCTATTGGGTCATTTTACAGCAAGGAAACTGAGGCCCAGAAAAATCGGCGTTCTCAATATGAGTGCAGAATACTCCATGTACCCTCAGACTTAGCTGGTGTGTTGGATGGCTTTGTTTAACTGCTCTCTTTTTCTTTTTTACGAAGGATGCCTCTCTGGACAGAGGGCAGAGGAATATATTTGAAAAAGGTGATATATTTCTATCTATGTATATATGTGTGTGTGTGTGTGTGTATATACATGCACATACACATATATGTATATACATACACATGCATGCACACATACAAAGAGAGAGCTATAAATTTTTTTAAGGTAGCAGAAGCGTATTTTTTGAAGATGGAAAAGCTAATGAACAAGATAAAATTGTAGTTGTATGTTATATTTTTGTATAAATTTTTGAAACTGTTTAGTTAGGCAGAGTAAGAGGAATGAAAAAAATCTGGCTTTATGTTTTGTCAAATAAGGACGCTTCTTGCTCTATCTGGGAGCAGCAGGGCAGGAAAGGAAGGATATTAAACCTCAAACCCTTGAATAGGGGCAGAGGTAGACAGAAGTAGGGGAGGGTTTTAAACATAAGTACTTTATAATGTGCATAATAGATGATAAAAATGATATAATTTTGTTTTCCACCACAATCGCTAGAATTTGAATTTATGTTTCCAGAAAATATACAAATGATACTATTTAGGAAGTCACAGTTAGAGAAAGGAAATAAATTTATTTCTAAGTGTCTTTGGTCAAAATCACAGTAATAAACAGATTTCTCTTATGTGACAGGAGAGGCAGAATCCTAAATAGATGGATACTTCTAAACTTTGGAAAAAAGTACTTTGTTCAGCACCCCAACCTCACACCCCAATCTTTCCAACAGGACAAAGTAAAAGAGAAAAGTTATGTTTTTGTCAAAAGCTAAGGAAATCCTGCTTATCTCCCTGGTATAGGGCCAAAAATCACTAAAAAAAAAAAGATGAAAGAAAGAGAAAAATGATCTGGGGCTGAAAGAAATCTTTCTTTCTGGTGTATACCTGTAATTTCATAAAATCTTAAAGAGTCAAAAAATTCTTCTCAGGGCAGGATTCTAAATCTATGGAAGTTTTAAACATACTACAATGACAGCATGGCATAGTGGAAAGAGTGCTGGATTCAAAGAGACATTTTTCTGGTCTTAGTTTCCAAACCTGTAAAATGAGGTGGTTATACTAGATGAAAAACTATGTGTAAGGTTCAACTGTATAGGCAGGTGTGGTCTAATGAAAAGAATCCTGAATTGGAGTCAGAATACATAGATCTGAATACTACTTCTGACATTACTAGGTGTACTAGACCTTGAGCAAGTCATTTAATCTCATTGTACCTCAGTCTTATCTGTAAAATGGGAATAAGAACTGTATCATCTACCCTTTCAAGGGTCTTCACAGGAACAAATACAAAGTGCTAGAAAAAAACAGCCATTTTTATTATTTAAAAATTACTTTTCTCTAGCACCTTAAGTTATCTTCATATAGTGCTATATGAAAACTGACATGAAAGATTTTAATTTTGCTGTTTAAAAAAAGCCCAAATGTTAGTTAAATTGCATTCAAAATTACAGAAACTTTATATGCAAGATCTATTTTTGTTAAAGAATATGTTAAAGGTGTTGGTGATATTTTGTAAAACTTAAAAATAAAAGTCTTATTTTTACATTGGGTTTGCACACACTATTTTTAAAAAAACTGACATTTATTCTGATAGACATCCTGTCCTGGTGGAGAAAAAAGATGGCTGTCCATAGGATCTTTGAGTTCAGCTTTGCCAGATGGATTACAGGCTATTCTCTGATCCTCAGTAATATCCTTACCTACAGAATGGAACTAATACTTGCACTACCCACCCCAAAGGACTGTTGTGTGGAAAACACTTTAAAAACCATGAAGTTCATTAAAATGTAAGATGTTATTACTATTAGAGACAGAATGAAAGATGAGGAGCTGCTGAGAGACAATAAGAGTGGACTGGGGAGAGCTGATGAGGTTGAAGGAGATGGTGAAAAGCAGAGAGTCACAGAAAGTGTTGGGGTGGATTGCTGAAGTAGTAGGGTTCAGGAAGACAATTAGGGGGGCCTTGAGAGATGAAGAGAGAAGATGAAATGGAAATGGTAAAAGATGCAGAGCAAGGCAATGGGTGAGAAAAGGTGATAATGGTAGATAACGGAGGAAGATGAGACAAAAGCCCAAGGATTGGAAGACAAGTGACCGGCTTGGCAGGGACAAGAGGGATGATCGGGTGGTACGGAGATCGGGGGCGATGGAACCGGAAGAAGTGGGGTGAAAAGGCCAAGATGACAGCCAGGCTCGGCGGGGGGGGGGACTTTCAGGAAAGCGGAGATGGCTGCTCCCAATCCCCCGGGGTCCTACGAACCCATCGAGGAAAGTGCCCGGGCCCTGGCAACGGCTGAAGCCGAGGCCCGCCCGCTGCCAGCCGCCGCTGTCTGTCTCTAGGATTGGCGCTACCTCTCTCCTCTCCCACCCTGCGGGACCCACAACATCCCCCGACCCCGGCCCCTCACGCCCCAGCCCACGGACCCACCGACAGACCGACTGAACCGCTGCCCCAGCCCGTTCACCCAGGCGACAGCAAAACCGGAACGGAAGCGCCCCCACTTCCGGGACCACAGCAAGGCCAATGGGGAGCCTGGAGGAAGAAGCCTGTCAGCCCGCGGCGCCCGTCCGCTCCTATCACGTGAGCTGAGAACGTCGTTTCCGTTGTCCTGGTGACGTTCCGGAAACCCAAACGCCCAGAATGCTCCGGCCCCTCAGGATGTACGTTCCCTGACGACGTAGCAGGGTGCAAGGGGCAGGGCAATGTAGGACACATGGAATGGGCGGCCGGGAAAACGACTGAACCAGGTTTCTGCAATTGAGCGCTGCTGGGCTTCCACGTTCCCCCCAAACTTCTGCCTGACCCCCTACTTATTTCTTGGACTCTAACACTAGTACTTTCTTTTACGTCCCTTTTCACGGAATTATGAGAATCGTGGACTCAAAGCTGGACGGAACCTCAATACTTCCCCTCTTCTTGGATTGGCCATTACTTAGTTTGGCACCTCTCGGACAAGCCTGGCTTCTCCTAGTTTGGTGACCGCCTTTGTCTGACCTCCCTGTCAGCGAAGGCCAGCTTCCTCACTGGCATGGGAACCAACGGGCGCATCTTCCTTTTTCCCCCTTGAAATCGATAGTTCCTGGATGGGGCCTAAGGTCCTACTCACCATCCCTGTAACTCTAGACCAAGGACCCTCCTCTGTTTCCTGCACTTGTTCTGCAACCAAGTAAATTTTTTTTAACTGAGGCAATCGAGGTTAAGTGACTTGCCCAGGGTCACACAGCTAGTAAGTGACAAGTGTCTGAGGCAGGCTTTGAAATCAGGTCCTCCAGATTCCAAGGCCCGAGCTCTATCCACTGCACCACCTAGGTGCCACAGTAAATTTTTTGCAGAAGGGGGTGCAATTTAGGGCAAAAGGCCTGGAAATTGGAGATGTATTCTAAGAGGAAGGCCAGTTTGCCTCCACTATGAGTGGGAGTAAAAGTCTGAAAGCAAAGGCTGGAACTAAGCTCTGAAAGATGGAAGGGACTACATAATTAAAAATTTTCCAAAAAGATAAAAACATTAGTGTTTAGTTTGTTAGAAGACATGTACTTATTTAAGGGTCTTTTAAAATAATGTTTAAGTTTCTGGTGATCTGCAACACCTAGTTTTTGGCTTAAGGTATTAATTTATCAAATTATGTGCTATTCTATATTGTAACCCACCATTATGAATATGTATTGCAGAATCAGAGACGAGACAAAATTAAATTAAAGTTAAAGCCTTACAATCACAAATATTTATGAAACTCTTTATCTTAACACAGCCAAACAGCACTTACAGATGGCCAATATTTAAAGCTTCTCTAGGAAACAATCCCTTCTAATTCCTATGAGGTAATTATACAAATTGGTAACCATAGTAATACTAGGCAACAAAAAATTGCCTGGAAGCAATCTGCTCATTCAAACCAGGTGAGTGACCCTCTCAGCAGGGGTCTGAAGGTCCTTGGCCTAGCCTACCACAATGGAGAATGGCATTCCAGGGGACTTTGGGAGAGGGTTGTTGTTTTCTAAGAGGACCAATGACATCCATCACTGGGGTAATATCTTGAATGCATGAATTGGATTTAAGTGAGGTAGAATAGAGCAAAGGTGTCAGCCTCACTGTCTCTTTCAGTCATCGAAATCCAGGCAAGACAATTCAAGAGAACTGATGGTGGCCTGGGATGCAGTACGTGACCATAGTTGTCTTGACTTGTGAACAGCCTATTCTACTCGGGAAGTTTTCATATGCTTGGTGCAGACACACTCCACTAAACCCACCAAAGGATTTCAGGTCTTGAGTTACCTTTAACCTAATTTAGCCCTTGTGCAGTTTTATTGGAGTGTGTGGGGCCACTCTTCCTGCTACAGCTTTTTGGAACCACAGGTACCAGAAAGACACCAAAGGTGGCTCTGCAAGCCGTCACAGCAGAGTTGCTAGTCTTCCTGAACTGGCCACACATCCCAAAATGGAGTTAGCAGCCAGCCAAAAGGGAGGAAAAAAATTACCACAGGAAGAAAATTTTGAGGGGAAAAGATTCCTCACTACTGAGTCCCTTGTAAGGACAAAACAATAGAAAAGCACCAGAGTGCAAACATGGAGTGAAAAATGGTTTTAAAGGCAAATAGAACTGAAAAGTAAAATAAAAAAATTAATATTCCCAGGTTATGAACGTTTAAGGAAGTTGGGGGAAAAGACGACAAAATCACACTTCAGATTCAGTTTTATGGAGGAAATGAGACTAGAGATAGTTGTTATTATAGGACTTAAGAACAAGACTTTCATCTCCAATCTCACAAAATTCCTATTATCGGTTAAATAGTTGAATGTTTATATAGTGCTTCCTGGCAAATGTACATAGTAATTTGTCCACCCAATTTTGATGCTGCCTGTGCAAACATATTCCCCACTTCATACCAAGCCCAACACTCATTCCCATGTCACTTATTTCCACTAGCCCATAGCTGGTGAAGGTGAAGAATATAATACATAGCAAAAGAAGACTACACACAGCAGTCAGTGCCTTTCAGAACTCTTATACTGATGACCTACATTGGCTACTTATTTACATTTTTAATTAATCCAAAACCCAGAGACTATGCCCAGCTATTTATAGTAAAGAATAGAAAAGAACTATGTCTATCAATTCCCAATGTCATATTTTTCCCACTATATCAGTTACCAAATGAGCACACTCAGGGACATGAATGATTTGCCAATGCTACCCTACACGTGGTTAAAAACAGTAGGGCCAAGGCTAAACCTCAGGTTTACCTCACAAATCCAATGCTCTTGCTACCATAAACATCTAGTCATTAAAACTGAGTTAACAACCATCAAGTTAAAAAAAAAAAAGACCAACAGAACACATGCTCAACATTGAGGTAAGGATAAATTTTTAAAAGAAAATAAATACTTTAAAAATATTTACTGTTAACAAATGTTTTCATTTCACTTTTATTTGCTTTCTAATGTCATATTTACTCCCGTGCCATAAGCTTTTGTTTCTTCAGTTTCTTCTGGGATATCTAGGGGAGGAAAAAAAAGATTTTTAAAAAGGCAACTCTCAAACACTCATTTTTCACTATAAAAACTGACTTTTCATTACACTGTGCTCCAGTCAAACCAAAATTTTACTCTTCACCAATCAGAAACTAATTGACATTTCAATGCATTGGAAAGTTCGAGAATGAAAACAGGGTTGCTCAGAATACAGGTTTTTTTCATGGTTATTCCAAAGGTGTCCTAAGACTGTCATCATGGCAACCAGAAATCTAATAGTGATATAAAAATCCAAATTTTTTCAC